GAAGTTACAGAAAGTTAATTAACAAACAGAAACGTAACAATACTGTAGATTATTTTGGAAACGTGTCTCACGTGGTTTGATACTGTAGGTTATCTTGGAAACGTGTTTCTTGTGGCTTGATACGGTTTGTTAACTAGGAAATATGTCTCATGTGGTTTGATACTGTAGGTTAACTTGTAAGGTCGGTTTAATTTCGTTGTTGTTCAATAATGTACCTATTTTATTTAAGATTTCCATGTAATAAGGTAAAAATGTACATTTTGTTTTTCAACATTAGTTCCTTAGCTTTTTTTATAAAATCCTCGTCATAAAGCAACATTTTAAAGTTAAAATACAGTATCAAACCACATAAGACACGTTTCCAAGTTAACCTACAGCTCAAACCACATGAGACACTTTTCCAAGTTCACCTACAGTATCAAACCACATAAAACACGTTTCCAAGTTAACCCACCGTATCAAACCTCATGAGGTACGTTTCCTTCTTAACCTACAGTATCAAACCTCATGAGGTACGTTTTCTTCTTAACCTACAGTATCAAACCACATGAAACACAGCTCCACGTTAATCTAAACTATCAAACCACATGAGACACGTTTCCAAGTTAACCTACAGTATCAAACCACATGACACATGTTTCCAAGTTAACCTACTGTATTAAATCACGAGACACGTTTCCAAGTTAACCTACAGTATCAAACCACATGACACATGTTTCCAAGTTAACCTACGGTATTAAATCACGAGATACATTTTCAAGTTAACCTACAGTAGCAAACCACATGAGACACTTTTCCAAGTTCACCTACAGTATCAAACCACGTGAAACACGTTTCCAAGTTAACCCACCGAATCAAACCTCATGAGGTACGTTTCCTTCTTAACCTACAGTATCAAACCACATGAAACACTTTTCCAAGTTCACCTACAGTATCAAACCACGTGAAACACGTTTCCAAGTTAACCCACCGTATCAAACCTCATGAGGTACGTTTCCTTCTTAACCTACAGTATCAAACCACATGAAACACAGCTCCACGTTAACCTAAACTATCAAACCACGTGTGACACGTTTCCAAGTTAACCTACAGTATCAAACCACATGACACATGTTTCCAAGTTAACCTACGGTATTAAATCACGAGATACGTTTCGAAGTTAACCTACAGTAGCAAACCACATGAAACACTTTTCCAAGTTCACCTACAGTATCAAACTACATGACACATGTTTCCAAGTTAACCTACAGTATCAAACCACATGACACGTTCCCAAGTTAACCTACAGTATCAAACCACATGACACATGTTTCCAAGTTAACCTACAGTATTAAATCACGAGACAGGTTTCAAATGTAAACTGCAGAATGAATCCACATGATAGACGTTTCCAAAATAAACTACAGTATCACACTACACGAGATTCTTTTCCAAGCTAACCTATAGTATCAAACCACATGAAACAGGTTTTCTTGTTAACCTACAGTATCACACCACATGAAACACGTTTTCAAGCTATCCTAAGTATCAAACCACGTGATACATGTTTCCAGGTTAACTTACAGGATCAAACCATATGAAACACATTCCCAAGTTAACAAACCGTATCAAGCCACAAGAAACACGTTTCCAAGATAACCTACAGTATCAAACAATATGAAACACGTTTCCAAGTTAACCTACAGTATCAAACCACATTAAACATATTTCCAAGTTAACCTACGGTATCAAACCGCATGAGACAAGTTTCAAACCTATTGGAAAACTTTCAAGTATACCAAACCTATTGGAAAACTTTCAAGTAAACCAAACCTATTGGAAAACTTTCAAGTATACCAAACCTATTGGAAAACTTTCAAGTAAACCAAACCTATTGGAAAACTTTCAAGTATACCAAACCTATTGGAAAACTTTCAAGTAAACCAAACCTATTGGAAAACTTTCAACTAAAC